GGCCCCGGGCCTCGAGGGCTTTGCCAGAGCAAAACCTCAAAGGGGCGGCATCCCGCTGCCACTGTGGCTTTGCTCCCCGTGTCCCTGGTCTGCTGGGGGTGGGGGCGCAGCTAGTGCGCCCCCCCCAGCAGACCAGACTTTTGTTGTGGACCCTGGGGTAGAGCAGCTGGGGTGCTGCCGGGTTGGTCCTGCAGGGACCTACCTGGCAGCCCAGCGGTTCTGTCCCAGGCTCGAGATTCAGCCGCTGTTGAAACTGATCAGTGCCTGATTCCAGGAAGTTGGGGGCAAAGCAATTCTGCCTCCAGCTTCCTGTAGTCAGCCCCTGGTCAGTTTCAGCAGCAGCGGCTGAATCTGGAGCCAGTTCCGACTTACATACAAATTCAACTTAAGAACAAACCTATAGTCCCTATCTTGTACGTAACCCGGGGACTGCCTGTATTTCATGTCCACAGTTGCTCCGCATCTGGGATAGGCCAGTAATCCTGTCAAGAAGAAGCCTGACTCTGGTGGGACTCAAATTCACATCCTTTGAATACTCTCTCACCTCTAGGAAGCCAATGCACTATCCACTGTGCTTTTGAGCCTCTATTAGACAGCAGGCCACTCATCCACTTCATATGTGCCCTATTAATTTTTTATTACTCTAGTTTTTTAATCCAAATGTGCAGTAATAAGCCAAACACCTTATAGAAGTTTATTACTGTGATGTTATCCGATTAAAATATAACCATGGAAAATCACTGCTGTTATATAATTGCAACGAATTTTATACAAAGTGTATTATGTGGCCAGAAAGGATTAAGCATTCTGCAAGCTAAATGACCCAGAGTTAATCTTTAAAGACATGTTAGAAAAGTATGTAAATGATAAGTAAGGTCATTCCATGTTAGATAAGATAGAACTCTGAAGAGCAAACCTGCAATTTTAGAGAATTGAAGTTATACTAATTGTATGTGTACACTTGTATCTTGATAGAAGTTAGCGATGTAAACACACAGTTCCAGTTTGTCACTGTAGCTATTGACTCAAAGATCAAAAGGAAATACTAACAAATGAACTGTCAATGTAGTAAAAGTCTCAGTGGGATAGCCATGTTAGTCCGTAACTTTAAAAATGAGTAGTTCTGTGGCACCTTAGAGGCTATCCAAAATATGTACATAGTATCATGAGCATTTCTGGACAAAACCCACTTCTTCAGATGAGATATCTGATGAAGTGGGTTTAGCTCACAAAAGCTCATGATACTATCTAGTCTCTAAGGTGCCACAAGACTACTTGTTTGTAAACATAGTAATATCACTGTTTTCAATTAGATGAATTGTGTAGCAGGAAAATGGGCAATTGCTTTATGTTAATCCCGAACACTAATTACTGATAGTGCTTAGGAAATAGATGTGTTTCAAAATCTCCATAATTGCCTATTGTTCATCTGAGGATTCTGGCCTGTCAAAAGACAACCTGGAACTGAATAAAAAGCCCATGGGCCGATTCCTTTTTATCTCACAGACACTTAAACTTCATCGGGGGCGGGGAGGGGGGTTTGAGTCACAAGATTGAGATTACCAGGCCTGCCTGTATTCACCCTAAATGTGGATATTGGACTATAACCTATGGACCAATTCTGAAAGAATTATTTGCAACTACAAAGCTCACTACCCTTTACTATATAAATGAACTTAAAAACAACAAATAGTCTTGCAGTACATTAGAGACTAACAAAAAATGTAGATGGCATCATGATCTTATCCTCATCATATATTTGACTTGGGTGTCTGGGTAGGGGCCTAAGGCTGGATTGCTTTAAGGTAACTCTGTTGTTGGCTTCTGGGTAACCTGCAAGGCATAATAGAAGCTGTTTTGTACTGGTTTGGTAAATCTAAGTATTGGAATATTCATCAGCATTGGGGACTGACTGCCCCATTCTTTACAGTTCACCCTAACTGAGTGTGGCTCTCTGGGACTTTAGTCACAATTACATCAACACTATTTCCTTTAACTATCAAACATGTAATCTCATAAAAAAATCAAATTAGTTTGGCAGGATCTATTTTCCATTAACACATGCCGATTTGTATTAATTGTATTATCTGCCTTTAATACTTTATTACTTGAGTTGTGTATTATCTCACTGGAGATTTTTAAGAGCAGGTTAGACAAACATCTATCAGGGAAGGTCTAGATAAGAAGGTCTAGATAAGATAAGGCAATAAAATGGTTGCAGTTTACCTGGGTTAGTCCTGGTGGGCTGCTGCTACTATATTCACCTGCACCTCCACAGGTACAGGAGATCACAGCTCCCATTGGCTGGGAATGGCGATCCGTGGGCAATGGGAGCTGCAATTCCTGTACCTGCAAAGGCAGAGATAAATATAGTGGTGTGGAGGTCGCCAGGGGCTTACCCAGGCAGACTGGAACTGACTCATGGGCTGGTATTTGCTAACCCGGGGTCTAGATGGTGCAGGGGCCTGCCAATGAGTGCAGAGGAATGGAATTGGTGACCTCTCAAAATTTCTTCCAGTCCTATGATTAGCCCATTCCATTATCTTGCCCAGATTGATGTCAGACTGACAGGCCTCTAAGTCCTGGGTCATCTTGATTATCCTTTGTAAATATTGGCACAACATTGGCTTTCTTCTAGTTTTCTGGAATTTCCCAAGTGTTCCAAGATTTACTGAAAATCACCATTAATGGTCCCAATGAGCTCCTCAGTCAGCCATTTAAAAACTCTTGGATGCAAGTGATCTGGACTTAGTGATTTTAAAATGTCTAACTGCTACTTAATATCATCCTGAGATACCAGTAGAAAGACAAGAGTGTTATCTTCATGTGATATGATTATATCATCTGTTTCCCCCCAAATACTGAAATAGGTATTAAATACTTCTGTCTTTTCCAGATTATTATTGATGATTTTATCATTTCCATCTAGTAATGGACCAATGCAATAGTTAGGATTCTTTTTTTTCCAATATACTAAAAACCCCCTCATTCTAATTGTTCTTAACTCTGCTGGCCATACACTTCTCCTTCTGTCCTTTTGCTTCCTCAATCAATTTTCTACAATTCCTAACAAGGATGATGCCAGTGTTATGTGCACTATAATGTGAACTAAAGATATCAAATATAGACGACTAAGCCATTTGAGGAGAGCACATAATCTAATGCAAGTGTGTAATTATAACTCCCATTAGTATTAAATAGAAGTTATTAATGTTCTTTAAACAACAATACTCCTTTTCAGTTTTTCTAGCTCTTCCATGTCTTGTATTAATGAATCACTGGTTGGTAAACTGGAAGTGAAAATTCTGCTTGACTATTATAATGTTTATTGCAAATAAAGGATTACTTCCTTGAAGTAAATAAATAAAGTAATGAATAGAGAAAAGAGAATACTGATTTCTTTTTTTACCTCTGTTCCATCTTTTCCTGGAATTCCATTAAGGCCTGCATCCCCCTATGAAGAATTCAATATCAGTCAAACAAAGAAAAAGTAATGTTTTAAACTGTATATACATTGTTCTCGAGTATAATTTAGTACCTATTAAAGGAAGCATACCACTTACGTCTTCCTAAGTTTTAATTATCTAATATGAACGATACCAATATAGAATTTCTTCACAAATTGCATTAATATGTATTTTATTTAAAGAAAAGGGAAAACTAAATAACTCGGATAAACTATCCTAGTTCATAAATGCTGAATACATACAATATTATTACAAGATTTTTCAGTTCAAATGAAAATATAAGGGGCTTTTACTAAATCTTTAAAAAGTCATGTCACCTTTACTCCTTTCTGGCCAGGAGCCCCATCATCACCTGGACGACCCTTTTTACCCTAAAAATAGCAGAATAAAAAAGCTATTAATAAAAAAGTCACATTATAAGCCCCACATCACAAATTCTGTAAAAATGAGCCAGTGCTTTTAGACAGAACCAAGTAACTTCACCATAAAAGAATATCATTTTATTTAGTAATTTATTTGGCAGCATATGCAGGACTTTAGAATAAAAATAGACTCTGTCATCTTGGGCAACTAATATACAGGCAGTCCCCAACTTACGCGGAACCGACTTATGTCGGATCCGCAGTTACGAACGCGGCTTTTCTTGCCCCGGAGGACACGGACTGTGGGACCTTGCGGTCCTGCCGCCCGTGTACTCCGGGGCGAGAAAAGCTGCTCCGCGTCTCCCTGGTCTGCAGACCAGGAAGACGTGGAGCAAAGCCGCGGAGGGGCTCGGGCAGCCGGGCATCCCAGGCGCGCATGGGCTGTCCCGCTGCCGGCTTCCCCCGCGGCTTTGCAAAGCCGTAGGGAAGCCAGCAGCGGAGCAGCCCAGGCGCGCCTGGGGGGGCCCCCGCTGCCTG